AGCGTCCATCTTGTGCCATCTTGGGGGCACATGATGGACACGAGGGTCCGAATAGTGTTACTTTCATTCAGAGTGTTATTTTGTTTCTCCTCCCCATGTCTGGAGATCACCAGGGCATCTCTGGGCTGGATGAGCCCACCCAGGCCTGAGGTAAAGCCCAGCAACCCACAGCCAATGGAAGGCAGAGGCCTGGGCTGCACTCTCCCTCGAGCCTCCAGGTCAGCTTTGCCAGTCCCTGACCTTACCAAAGATGAATGAAGCAAATGTTATGCTGCCTTATTCAGGGGAGGAGGAGCCCATCCTGCCTACCCCTGTGACCCTGCCTTCCCAAGCAGGGGCCTGAGATGTGGAACTGCCCCACTGAGGGGGCAGTTTTGTCAATGCAATTGTCTCTGTTTTACAAATTGGAGTCACTCTTATGCTGTGCCCAGTTTCTGAACTGGAGACTGTGGGCCCTCTGGGCTCTGAGTACCCCTGCTATGGGCTCAGGCCTTGGGCTGGATTGGAAAGAGCTGAAGGTAATGGCCTTTGTGCTCCTGGCCTGGCCTCTGTTCCCCCATTGCATCAGACAGGAAGACGGACAGCACGCTGAGAGCCTCTGATCCAACCGGCCACCCTGCCCTGAGCAGGGCACTCGGGCTGGCCAGGGGAGCTCTACCAGGCTGTCTGTGCGTGATCCAGCTGGGCCAGAGCCTCTCCGACTGGTAGAAGGGAGAGCCCCTGTGATCATGTCCATGACTGCCAGCTCTGTTCGTCCTTGGCCAGCCTTGCCCGTCCCCATGAGGTATCAGCCTCTTTCTCTTCTTGCGCCTCCCTTGGTGGGGGAGTGGCAGCAGGGGTCTGGGAGCCAGTATCTCCAAGCAGCTTAGAGTTGGCCTTATTTACCTCAGCCTGGGTGCTGGTCCTTTTTTCCGGCCCCTCCCCTCCAAAATGTGCCTATTGCTAGAGCTCCTCCCTCTCAACTCCCAGTTTCCTTGGGAGTTGTCATTAAAGGAAAAAGGAAAAAAAAAAAAAAAAAAAAAAAGCCAGTGCCCAGGGATGGGCATCTCCAGGGAGCTGGGGATTAGCGCCAGGCAGCTCATTGCCAGCCATGCCCACTTCCCCAAGGGCACCAGAACAAGCCAAAGCCTTCGTTGTATGTTGACGATGCACTTTTATGAATGTAGTTTCTATCGCTGTTTTTAGCCTTTTCACATCATGTAATGTGAGGCCTTGTACTTGTTAATTTATATCTCAGATCATATTTGATGGTTTGTATATATATCACTTCTAGACTGTTACAGGTGATGGACACCTCAACAGAGAAAAAAATGAAAGCAGGTTTTGCAGGAATGTGTTGCACGGTGCCAACTGGGCCTGGGCCTATTTACATCCTTTTCCCTGGGGGTCTCTGTCAGGCACTCCCAGCCCAGCCCTCAGACAGCGAGCATGTGCTCCTGTCTCCACCTCGGCCCTCGCCCAGGGTGGGGACTGGGCCCCTCATCTCGACCAAAGCTGCCCAGTGGCAGCTCGGCCTCTTCATGACCCCGTCCTGATGGCTCCTCCACTCTTCTTGGGCTCACACCCTTGTCTTGTCCCCATTTCCCAAGAGGAGACAGAGCACGTGAGGTGCCAGAGCTGACAAGATGAGACGACTCTGTGTCCCAGGTTCAGGCTCTCACAGAGCCCCCATTTCCAACCGCCCCCAAGGGTCTTAACCTCACAGGGAATGTTTTTAAGAGTGAATTTGCAAACAAGCCAACCCTGCACTCCAAAATAAGACCGATTTTTTTGTGCCCAAAACTGTGGACATGCTGGCTCAGCATCCTCAGGACCAAGCTGTTGCTTAATTTTAATTTATTATTAAATAATCCAGATGACAAGTTGTGGGCTTAGACTGGCCTGGGCCCAAAGGTTCTGAAGGGCAGTCTCCTAGCAGCCCCAGGGTTGCTGTGGGACGGGCCATGTGCCATTTGCTCATCATTCTGTGGGGTATGTCAGCCTCGGCCAACGCAACAGAGGCCAACACCGGGGACAGTCTGTCCTCTGCCACCCTCCTGCCCCTCCCACCCACTCTGCTCTGTGTCTGTGTCTGAATTGTGGGTTGTGCAGAAGAACCTGCAGCCATAGTTATCTGACTGTATCTTGACCGAGGGCTTGCAGAGCAAAGCCAGGCCAGTGTCGCGCATTACTTAAAATAAAAGGGATCATTTATACCAGAGGGATCCTGTGGCAATGCTTTTGGTTGAAGGGTGGAGGGAGCAGACGTTTGCTGTAAAGGGGCTGGGAATACAGCCTGGGAACACACTCGGGTGCTTCAGTGGGAAACTTGTAATGATTCCGAGAGGGGGCGTTAGGATAAGATGACTTGGCTGGTACCACTGCTAGCTCAGAGATGGCACCTCCTCCTCTCACTCCCAGGAGCATCGCAGAGAGCGGTTTGTCGGCCCTGAGTGTCACCAGTGCCTGGGTTCCCTGTGCCTGTCACCAGTGCCTGTCAGCTCCTTTGTGGCATCCAGTAGTCTTCCCAGCCTAGAGGACTCTCCTTGGTTCCATCCTTTCAAGGGAGGAATCAGATGCTTCCAGGAACCATCTTTCTCATATTCCCCCCAGTCTGTCTGCTGCTCTTGCTTAGCTTTGTGCAGGAGAGACCATCCCTGTCCCCATCTGAAGCTTCTGGTGCACCCACTCAGCCTATTGAGCGCTTAGCACTGCCACTTCAAGGGGCATTGTCTACCCCAACAGCACAATGGCCCATCTGCAGCCAGAGCTTAAGGCCTAGCTCCCTACCCTGTCCTTTGGGCATGAGATCACTTAAGAACTTGAGTTGTATGGAGCAGTGGGAGCAAGTCCCCAGGAATCTGCCCTCTTGCTCACAGGCAGTTTGGGGAAATCAGGACAGTTGGGTCTGGGGCAGGACGACCCACCCTTCCTGCCTTTATCCCGCTGGTGGAGAATGAAGTCTTACATCCTCCAAGCTTGCCTTGCTTGCCGTCCCCTAAGAGGGGCAGACAAGCTACTTGGACTCCCTGGGACAGGGACTATGGTTGCTTCATGCACCAGAGCTTGAAATGGCAGGGCAAGATAATAGGTGGGGGAGGGGCACAGACACGAGAAAACTAACTGCACCTGCTGGATCTGCCGATTCCCTCCATCCCTTGCTGATTTCCAGGGCAAAGGGGTCCCAGACCAGGGCTCAGCAGAAGGGGTCTCACCTTGTACCCCAACATACTGAAGCGCATTGCAGACAGGCACCATCACACACTGGTGGACTGGCCCTCTTGGCCAATCCAAGGCTAAAGGACAAAGGAGTTTTCAGTTATAAAGACACCCTGGGTCTGACAGCATTGGAGAGCCTGGCTGGGATGGAGACACCCTTTCACTCGGGCTGGCTGTTATTTCTGACACCCATCACTGCTCCCCAACAAGGCCAGATGTCCTCTGAGCTGACCCTCTCCCCACTCTTCACCTCTGCATGGTGAGTCTGTGCCCTTTCTTCCACAACCCCTCCCCCCCCCGTCAGACCACATAATACAGAGTCAGGATCTGCTGAAACATGTTTAAAACAGGATTGATCACAACAGAACCGGCAGAAACAGGAGAGAAGGGAGTGTGGCTGCTGCCAGTCTCTGGCTCTCAAGCTGGCAGGTGCTTTAGCTTCTGCTGCTATATGCCAGTGGTGCGAGACGGTCCCAAGCCCCGCTGGGGCCTGCCCTGCCTTGCCTTGCAGGGAGGGCAGGGCTGCTTCACTTCCCCTCCCCTTCCACACTGAGCCCTGGTGGGCATTCTGAGGCCCAGCGGAAGGCATGCTGCCTCTCCTTCCTCCAGTCTCCATGGCTCAGAACCAGGCTACGGGTAGAGGTAGATGGGGAGACATGAGGGCCACGCAGGACCCCACGTGGCAGTGAGGGAGCTTAGGACCCTGAGGGAAACATGCTGACTCCTAGCTGGAGAAAAGGCACCTAGATAAGTAAGCTGGGCTTGGAGGCCTCCAAGGGAGCCAGGGGGTGAGGTTGGGTAGGCTGAAAGAAGCAGGAAGCAGGGAGCAGGATGGTGAGCAACCCCCTAATCCTGGTTCCCAAATCCCCACCCACTGAGAGAGAAGGAATCCTGGAGCAGAGCCCTGCCCCTGTAACCCTCTGCCTGAGCAAGACAGCCTCATCCCATTCCCACCCTGCCTCCCCACCCAAGCCCAGGTCCGATCTCTCCCACACTTCCCACCGTCCTGCTGCAGGCCCTTTACAGAGGGAAAGGACGGTCAGAGGGCCTCAGGCTGTCTTGGTGCTGGCGTCCACCTCCTTGTGGGCCCAGAGCTCCTTGTGCTGCTTTCGACCGAAGCCTTCATCATAGTTGCCTTTGCTCTTAAACAGCTGCTGAAAGTGGGGCTTGCAGTAAAATTCCCCGTGCAGCGCCGCGTAACTGCCCAGGCTGCAGAGGCAGAACAACGGTGGTCAGGTTGGGTCAGGGCTGGCAGGTGAGGGCAAGGGCAGGGCAAAGGCGCACCTCAGCTTGGTGTGACAGTGCTTGCAGCAGAAGCAAGAGTTGTGGAAAATGAGCTTGTCTGCCACCAGCCGCTCCATGGGGTACACAGTCTTCTGGCAGGCAGCACAGGTCTCCTTCACCTGGGCCCGAAGGCTGAAGGACTGTTGAGGGGAGAGACTCAGCCAGGGGTCTGACCAGCGCCGATCCCTTCCTCCCCCTACACCCCACTCTCACGGTCCTACCTTGGAGCGCTGAACGGTGCTGGGGCCACAACCGCTTTTGGCTTCCTGAGGGGAGAGGGCCAGTCAGGGCAGGGGCAGCAGAGAGACGCCCCGGACCTTCACTGGGATCACCAGCGCAGCTCCCAGGGGCACTCGGGGGGAAAGGGGCAAAGGGTGGTAGGGAAACACACCGCTCCTCACCCCTTCATCCCCAAGCCAGACACCTGCTCGGGGTGTCCTCCCACCCGGCTGATCACCTACAGGAGAGGGGGTGGCCTGGGCGGCTCCTGCAGCCTGGAACATGGCTGGTTGGAAGTGATGGAGGCCTGGGTGGAGACGCGGCACCCGCTGGGTTCTGCAAGGGGAAGTCGGTCGGTTGGGCCCCACAAGCCTTTCCCCAGCCCGTGGGGTGGGGGTGGGGTGTTTACAAGCAGGGGGCTGGGGGGCTGTGGTTGGGACTTTTTCTAAATCATTTCCTGTTGCTCTGGGTCTTGCCACTTCCGCCCTCACCCACCTCCCCCTTCTCCCGCCCGCCCCCCTCGCTGCTCCCCAAGGGCCAGGGGTCCCCGCGTGAACCGTGTATCGGGGGGTAACAGAGCGGGTGAGGAGGGGGGCTGCTCCTCGGCCGCGGAGAGCGCCCCGCGGACCAGGACCCCACACGCGGCGGGGGTGGGGTGAGAAAGGTCAGGAGAGGGCGGGCGGGGAGGGCTGCGGCGACAACCCGCTGCCCTGGCCTGACCCCGACCCTACACAGCCCAGCCCCGGGCCCAGGGCGCCGAGGCTGGTGGCGCCCACAGCTCGGCGGACCCGGCCGCCGCACAGCGCCGTCCGGCAGTCTGCGCGCCTCGCTCCTCGGCCCCCGGACCCGCGTGGACCGCCCCCCCCAACCCGCCGGCCCCGCGGAGAGGGCACTTGGCCCCGTTCCCGCCCGGAGGCCTCGGGCGGCGGCGAGCAGCGGAAGCGCCCCGGGGACCCCGGAGAGGCGGCTCCCGCAGCCCCCACCTGGGCGCCTTGATTTGTGAACGGACTACAGACCCCTGCTTCCAGCCACACGCCCGCGTATCTCACCGGGTCCCGGCCTGGGCCGCAGGGCGGGGGTCGGTCTCCGGGGGGCGCCTCGAGTGGGAGGTGGGCGCGGGTGCAAGCTGCAGCCGCTCGCCTGTGGTCCCCGAGCCGAGGCCGCCGCCGCCTGATCGCAGCACCGCCCCCGCCGGCCCCCGCCTCGCGCCCGCCCATTGGCTCCGCCGCACCCGCGCCGCCGCCGACCCCTCTGCGCTTTGTCTTCCCCGCGCTCGCGGTCCCGCCTTTGTCTGCCCCCCGCCCCAACACAGTGCTCCGGGCCGGGCACCTCCCTCGGGCCCCGCGCTCGCTGGCCTCCAGGAACGGGGCGCGCGACCGAGGCAGGGACGGGAGCCTCCGGGCGGGGACAAGTTCGGGGGAAGACGCCTGGGGTCGCGAGACCGAAAGCGCTCTCGGCGATTCTCCTGCGGCGGTAGAGGAGTACCCAGCTGCCCCTGGGCCTTTTGCTGCCTCAGTTTCCCCTAGTTGGCCTTGTAGGGCACAGGCCCGGCTGCCCCCTTTCTTCCCGGAGATCCGTGGGCCCTGCAGTCTCATAGACCCCGCGAGGGCTGCCCGGGAGGCCGGTCCGGTGCCCGTGGCTCCCACGCCCCCTCGGGCCGCGGAGTCCTCCCGCCGCCAGGGGCAGCCCCGCGCGCCTGCACTGCGGCCGAGGAAGGCGACCGCCGGGCTGGGAGGTACAGCCTGCGCCTCAGGGAAGGCCCGGGGACCTCGGTGTTCAGTCACGAGGGTCTGGTGGGACCGCCACCCCTTAGCGCCATCTCCTCAACCACCAAGACCGGGGGCCCGGGAAGTGGCTGCCTCTGATGTCCCAGAGTACTTGCTCTCCGAAAGCGTTTCCGTGGCCAGATTTTGTGGGGTTAGCCACCCCGGCCCTTGCGGGCACGTGGTCTGCCAAGCGTCAGGACAGCCCTTTCAGGGAGTGAGGTTTCCACCCGAGACGAGCAAACCTCGGTGCACCCAGACCTCACCGAAGGTAAGGGAGCGAGTCCTGAAGAGCTGCCGTGATCCGTCCCCAGTAATGCAGCTGGTGGCGCAGGGCTGGGTGGGAAGCGGCCCCCAGACCCAGCCGCTCCCTCCCTGCCCCGCTCCCCGGCCCCCCTGCGCGACAGGTCTGAGGCAGGTGACCATCCCTCACGTGGGGCACAGTCTCGCTGCGCGGGAAACAGGCCGGAGCAGCCCCCTGGACGGGCCTCTGCCGGGAGGGTAGGGGACCTGCCGGGCACCCCCGACTGCAGAGCTCTGCCCGTCACCGGGATGGAAGCTGTTTCTCGAAGCACAGCCCTGAACATAGCGTGTGCCCACGCGGTGCAGGAATAGAACTGGCGGCCCACACACTCGCCGGGGAGCAGAACAGCGCAGCGCCCGCACCTGGGCCACTCGGCACACCCACGCTGCGCTTCACTTCTCCGCAGCCTCCCGCTCCTCTCTGGCGGTTTGAGTTTGGGTTGAGCTGCAGGCCTGAGGGCTGCCTGGGTGGGGCGTGTGTAAGAAACTTCAGGCCAAGTTCTCACACCCCTGATCAGATTCTCAAAGGGGGGCGGTGGTGATTTCAGGAGGGTGAAGCCCTGGGGCAGAAGCAGCGGCCCCGAGGCCCCCTTGCCCTGCCCAGGACAATCTATGGGCTGAACTGCAGGCACCTGCCAGAGCCAGCAAAATGAGCTGCCAAACAAGGCGAAGAAAGCGGTTTACAAGCCAAGTAAACGGGCTGATAATGATGTTAAGAAAAGGGAACTTGAGGTTTAAAGAAAAAAATGAGCTGGGCAGGGGAGAGGAGGGTTGGAAATAAATGTGACCCGGCCTTCTGCATTTCAGGTCTCCCCACCCCACCTCGTGGTCGGTGTCATTCCTTCACATCAACCCCTGTAACTGCCCAAGGTTTTGTTCATTTATTTTTATCCTCAACACCTGAGGACATTTTTCATTGCTTTCAAAAAGGGGAGAGACAGAAAAACATCAATGTGAGTAACACTGATTGGCTGCCTTTTTGTGTGCCCTGCCTGACTGGGGATTGAATCCATAACCTGGGTATGTGCCCTGACTGGGGATCGAACCCACAACCCTTTGATCTTCGGGTCGACATTCCAAGCAACTGAGCCACACTGGCCGAGGCCATTTTGTTATTTTTTGAATTGGTGTTACAATTTCTGAGGAAAGGGAAAGTGAGAGCATTTGATGGTACAAAGCAGCTTCAGGGAAGGTGGGGCACTTCCTTAATCTGACATTTGAAGTGCCTCACCCAGAGCAGGGCACCTCACCCCTGAGGGACTGGGAGGGAAGGTGCCAAGCTGGGGCACATGCAGGCTGGGGAGCACCTCGGAGGAGACCCAGGTTAGAGTCACCCCCTGGCACGTCCTCTCTGGCTGCCAACCAGGATGACCGGGCAGGGCACCAGTCTGGTTCTTAGGTTACCTGCTCTTTTGGTATTAGTTCCAGTGGTAAGGAGACACCACAAGTCATGTTACAAAATAAACCCCTCCACCTCCTTCCCTGCCAAAGGTGAGCATCTTCTGCCCGGACTCCTAGTGGCCCACAGGTGGCCCTGCAGAGGGGCTGGTCTCTGGCACCTATCAGGGGTGTCCAACCTTTCGGTGTCTTTGGGCCACACTGGAAGAGTTGTCTTGGGCCACGCATTAAATACACTGCAATGTGTAATCACACCCACAAAAACTTCAGTGTTTTAAGTAAATTTATGACTTTATGTTGGGTGGTCCTGACCTGCATGTGACCCACAGCCTGCACGTGGTAGGCCTTTCCAACCCAAGTATTTTGATGGCCACATGCTGTTAATAGTCTCTAAATTGTAGATAGTTAAGAGCACGCCTATTACAGGTTTTATTTTTTAATCCTCACCTGACCACATGCTTACTGATTTTAGAGAGAGGGGAGGGAGGGAAGAAGAGAAACATAGATGGTCACCTCTTGTATGCACCCCCAAATGGGGATCCAACCTGCAACCTACCTAGGTATGTTCCCTAACTGGGAATCGAACCCACAATCCTTTTTCAGTTACGGGCAATGCTCCCGCCAACCGAGCCTATTACGAGTTTTGAAAGAACTGGTATGCCCTTGCCAGTGTGGTTCAGTTGGTTGGAGTCCCTTCAGGTTCGATTCCCCATCTAGGTTGAGGGTTTGATCCCCAGTTGGGGTGCGTTTGGGAGACAACCCATTGATGTTTCTCTCCTTCCTCTCTCTAAAAGCAATGAAAAAGTCCTCGGGTGAGTGTGCATACGTATACACCTACGTGAACAAAAGAACCGGTGTGCTGTGAGGCCGTCTGTCCAATGACCGAGGTCACTGCTGCGCTCCCGTGGGCACTCCTGGGCTGCTCTCGGACGGCGGAACCCGGGGTGGAATGAGATGCGTTTGAGCCTGTGTGGCCAACACACAACGATGCCGCTCTCCAGTTGGGGCTCTGAACATTTTAATTTGTTCTGGCAATAGAACTAACACGGCATAAGGACTTAAGCCCCCTGGCTAGGCAAGACATTATGGCCCTTAGAGAAAGCACCGAGGCAGCAGTAGGAGGCAGTTAAGATGGACTCTCCATGGGAAAGAAATGCACTACACAGACAAAGTACAGAAGGTTTTAGGTGTCAGGGCCCAAGCCATAACAAGGATCAGGACAAGCTGCCCCAGCTTTAACCTGATGCTTAAAAAGGAAAACCAGTGCCCTTCCCTCCAATTATCAGGGAGAGGTCAGAGGGGAGAGGGCACAGACTGCCTACTGCTTGCCTCTCCATGGACCCACAGGATCTGAGAGCACTGGAAAAGAATGGAAACTGGCTGGTAGGAGAACAAGAGTGAGAGGAGGAAGTCACATAGTTCCCTGTGTCAGTGAGTCAAACCCCAGACTTGAACTTCAGTCCCCAAGGGCTGGCTTCTCTTTCTTCTCAAGAGGCCACCAGAGCTCCCTGGGCTGGGAATGTCAGCTTTCTGGCCTGTCTGGATCCCCTGTGTCTCAGATGTCTTGGAGCAGTAGAAAAGTTTCTCTCCAGGAACTTCTCTCCCAGTCAGCAAGCAGGCACCTCTCCTAGCAGAAATGCCCTTTCTACCCAGTCTGCTCCTGAAGGACAGGAATGTGGCCAGCCCTCAGGAAGGGTCCCAGAGGCTCCCGCGTCCATCCCATGCTGGGAAGTGAGCACCTTCTTCAGAGACTCAGAATTCCCAGTCATCCACCTCCAGCTCTTCCAAGTTTGTTACCAGGCCAAAGATTCCACTGTGGTCCTGAGACTGGCTGCCCTCAAAATTGGTGATTGGGTTGACAGGCCGAAGTAACTCAGGCAAAGCCTCTGAGGCGCGTCGCTTGATCTGGGGGAGGAGAGAAAGTGGGGATGGATCCTGTTACTCTGGGACCCAGGACATCACAGAGCAAGGAACCATGGCCTAGTGACAGACAGATGGGCCTTTGGAGTCAAGAGTTCCTATAAGCGGAAAGAGCAGCACCTTTAAGGGGTTTCAGAAAATGGTCATTTCTTTGATTTGAAAGGAGGAGAGAATACTCTAAAAACCCCAAAATTAAGGTGACTGGGGGAGTTAAAACCACAGGCGAGAAAACAAGGGGCCTCAGGAAAATGCTACTGTACCTGCTTGAAAAAGGAATGGTTCAGGAGGGTGCTGGCACTGGGTCTGCGGGGAGGGAGGGAGAGAGACCAGCATCACCCTGTGCCCCCAACTTCCAAAATCCTGTTTCTTATACTTCACCCCAAGTGCCCCTCTGCTTCGTTCCCTCGGCTCACTAAGCAAAGCAGCCAGAGCTGCTTAGCCTGGCTTCTTAGCAAACCCTCGGGCCGACCCCTCTTGCTATGGGGTCTCTGGACTCCTCTGAGGAACCCAGACCTTTACAGGACAGATGCAGCCTCTCAAACCCTGCCTTAAACCCTAGAGCCCCCTCTGCTCCCTGGAAAGCCCACCCCCCAGCCTAGTGGAAGTACCTTACATCTGGGTTGCGCTGAAGGCACTGCTCCACGAAGTGGTGGAAGTGGGGGGAAAAGGTTCGGTGATAGGGGTGGGACAGCGAGTCACCATTGGAGGTCCTGGGGGTGCTGGTGGCCAGGCTCTCGTTCAGGCCAGAGTTGGCCGCGGAGCGAGAGGTGCTCATGGTCAGCTCCTCGGCGGGGATGGTGCTGGTGTCCAACAGGCAGGGCACGGTGCCGTTCAGTTTCTCCAGCAGCATCTAGAGAGGACAGAGCCAGGACTGGGCTGGAGGCCTAGAGTTTCTTCACAAATATAGTTTTCCCAACATTCAAACATGATTTGGGGGAGTAGAGAAAAGACAGAAGTAGAATAACTTTTCCAAAGGAGTGCTGGCCACTGGCTTGGCAGCCACACCCTAGCTAGGCCCAATTGTTGGAGGGGGGCTGCAAAAAAGTGGCCCCTTCACAATGCTGGAAGGAAGGGGCTCATAGCCTCCTCCCCTTTATAAGGCATCAGATACTTTTAACTGTGGGCCCTTACCCTAGGGTGAAGGCAGCAGCAGGCTGGCTTTCTTTGAAGCCCAGCCCCAATTTGCCAAGCCCAGGTGGGTCTGATGGGGTCCATCAGGCCGCACCTGCAGCGCCACAGCCTGGTCTATCGCTGCGGCAGGCTGCACGGGAGCAGGATGCACAGGGACGGGCAAAGCTTGGGCAGCTGTCTGAAAGCCCTCAGACTCCGCGTGTGTGAAACCAGCCCCATGGTGGGGATCGCTGTCCCAGTCCCCAGGGATTGCTCTGTCTGAGCCAGAACCCTGGAAATCTCTCAAGAACTGTGGTAGCATAGTAGCCACTAGCCACAAGTGGCTCTTTATTTTTAAATGAATTTAAATTAGATTTAAAACTCAGTTCCTCAGTCTCACTGGCCACATTTCAAGTGCCTAATAGCCACAGGTGGCTAGTGGCTACCATATTGAACAATGCAGATATAGAACATTTGTTTCATTTCAGAAAATTCTATTGGACCACACTGTTTCTGGATCTGAACCTCTTATTCACCTTAAATAGCCTTTTAACTCTTTCCTGAGCATCTTTCTGTTAGTGTCTTATAGTTAGGTTTTCTAGATTCCAAGATTGCCACACCTCCTAGTCTACCAGATCTAATCCAACTGTTGGAGTGATCTTCCTCAAAGACATTATAGATCTGATGCTATCACTCCTGTGCCTAAAAGCCTTCAGTGACTCTCCACATGCTTTGCAACAGGAACCAGATATCCTGGCATGGCACACGAAGCCGCGATCTGCCCTAGCTCCCTCCTCCAGCCACATTGCCTAGTGTCCACGGCCCCAGGTGCACCTGTACTTCAGCCATTTACCACTGCTTGCTGTTGCCAACATCCTGTTCTTTCTTGACTCTGAGTCTGCACATGCTGTTTCCTCTGCCTAAAAGTTTCCTCTACTTGCCATTCTTCAGTTAATTCCTATTTACCTTAAGACTCAAGCTGCCTCTTCCCAGAAGCCTCTCAGGCCCCCTGCTTTGCAGGGTTCCCTTTGGCCATTCTCTAGCTGCCCGCCTCCCCACAGGGCAAGCAGCTGTGGTTCAAGGGAGAGACTCACTCAGAACTTGCAACCTTGCTCCCATTCCTTCCCGTTCCAGATCATGTTCCAGGTACCTGGGACTCAGGCAATCTTTGCCCCAATGACTCAGGCCTACTTCTTGGACTTTATAAAGCCTGACTCAATAGGCCTCTTCCCTGGGTCTACTGTAAGGGATGTGAACAGAAGTAGTCTGAAAATTATAAATGAGAAACTGGTTTTCCATGTAACTTACCAAGGTAGGGGGATGATGTATTTCATACATTTATAAAAATGAGCTTGATTTGCATAATTTTCAGTAGACACTTGGTCTTTGGGCCTCCCCCTGAGCTCCCCTCCCCCAACCTCCACTGGCATAGCAGTTATCACACAGAAGTAAACAGTCACAAAAGCATCTCCCTGGATGAGCTCTTGAAGGAAAAAACTCTCAGCTGATGATCCCTGGCTGGTGTCCTGAGTGTGGCAGGTACTCAACGAGCGCTTGTGGAAGGAGGACAGGCAGGCAGGAAGGAAAGCACTGGGCTGCAGGCTTACCTGGGTGGCAGGCATGTCCTTAAAGGGCACATGGCCATTGGCCAGCTCACAGGCTGTGATTCCCACACTGTAGATGTCAGATTTGGCATCGTAACCCTGAAGATTCTAAGTCGGGAGAAAAAAGCCATACATCACTCCATTTTTAGCCTTGGTCATTGTTCTTAGAAAAAGAACAGGGTGGAGCAAACACTGAGGAGAGGGAAAGAATGTCTGTCCCCAAATCGGGACCATCTGCTAAGACCCTCCCTGCCTACACCACTGAAGAGCACTGCTATGTGGAAGCACGACTGTTTGGTGGTGCTATGGAACAAGCAGGAGGAAGTGTGGGGCCCCGTGCTCCTGCTGGTGGAGGGATGGAGAGTGCCAATGCTCCTTTCCCACAAGAAGTGGGGATCTCTGAAGGGAGCTGAAACAGTGTCAGGCACAGTTTGGGACCCCACCGAGGGGGAACAACTCCACCCCCCCCCGGGGACACATCATGCCGTGCAGGAGGCTGCCTGGGTCTACCTGTCAACAGGAAAGCCTCCCTCCAGGAGCCTGTACTGCACTTGGATGGACGCAGAGAGCACCCCACCCCAGGAAACTCCTGAAGGGTCCCTTGGAAAATCACAAGGTGGTAGGGTTGGGGCTCCTCAGGACCTGGTACAGACCTGCTGGAGGACCTCCGGGCTGAGCCAAGGCAGAACCTTGATGCTGTACTTGGGAAAATCGTGGACCACACGTTGCCTCTGCCCGTGGCTGATCATGCTGAGGTTGCTGCGTAAACCGGACAGGTAGACCTTGCCATCCACGGAGATCAGAATGTGGCTGGCTTTCACACTCCTGGCGGTGGGGGGCACATGGTGGGAGAAGGGTGTCATGGGACGGCAGGAGCCCCTTCTACTGCAAACCTTTGGTCTTTACACACTAGATCCAGTCAGCTGTTTTCCTGGGCGTGCACATGTGTGTATGTGTATTGTACACATATTTATACATATTATATACACAAACACATTTTTGTGAGTTTGAAAAATATACCAAAAATGACATGACCCCACCCCACTTACATATCACCAGATTTCAAAACTTATTTATACTTTATTAAAGTTCTCTTTTATGCTCACGGACCACTACTTCCCCTACTACCTGCTACTGTTGACCTGTACTTTTTGTGTATTCTTGTCAAGTGTGCCATTGTTTTGTTTGCATATATTTTTAATTTACCTGATGCTACTGTGTTATGCATCCATTCTTCCTTCGTCTCTAAGTTCTGTTTCGAGATCCATTCGTGCTGCCATCTGCATACACCTCACCTTTGCCTCTAATTGCCACCTATACTCTGGGGTGGGACCGAACACTCACCCATCTTCCAGCACGGGACACTCCCACTATCTCCCACCCTGAATATGAACAATGACATTGCGAACATGGCCCCAATGGGCGTGTGTGAGGATTGCTTCGCAGTGCACACCCAGAGGCAGCACTGATGGGCCCGGTTCCGAGTGACCCCGACTGGTTGCGTTGGGCCAACTTCTATTATACAGACAGGAGGTCCCACCTCCTTATCACACTGGGCCTCACGCAGCCTCCAGATTATGCCACTTGTCTCTGCTGTATAAGCTGATATCTTCTTGTCTTTTTTTAGAATTTATTTTTAGAGGGGAAAGGAGGGAGAAAGAGAGGGGAAGAAACACTGATGCGTGAGAGAAACATTGATCAGCTGCCTCTCGCACGCCCCCTACTGGGGACCTGGCCCACAACCCAGGCATGTGCCCTGACTGGGAATCCAATCAGCAACCTTTTGGTCCACAGGCCAATGCTCAATCCACTGAGCCACACCAGCAGGGGCATCCTGTTTTAATTGGCTTTTCTGATTATTGCTAGATTTGAGTGTATGTTCATATGGTTCTTAGTGTTTTGGGTTTCCTCTTTTATAACCCTCATATCCTTTACTCACATTTGCTTCGCTATCCTTTTCTTGGTGATTCACAAGACTGCCTTGTTACTAATCTCCATGTATTTACACAAAGCTAACATCTTCCGTGCTGCCACCCATTTCTCAGGTTTGTTCAAGGGGTCCTTTATCGGAGAGAAACCTTTAACCTTGATAAAATCAAATACATCAAGTTTTTGTCTTATATCTTGGGCTTCTACAGTATTTAGAAGTTCTCCTATACCTTTAGTCTCAAAAATATTTCCTCACATTTCCTTGTAAGTCTGTAGTTTTACACCTGACATTTATTTAGGCCTTTAATGCGAGGAGCTCCTCTGTATGTGACATTAGGCAGCATGTGACAGGGGTCCAGTTTTATTACCTTCCCTACTGTAAGCCGGGCTCCTGACACCAGCTACTAAGCATTCTTTCTTCTCCCCAGCCTCTCAGCATAGGGCCGACTCTGGGCTGCACACAGCAGTTTGGGCGCCCTGAGGAAGAAGTGAGACGGGGATGCCACAGTCCACCTCAGCTGTCCCTCTCACACAACATTCAGGACCACGCTGCTCAGGAAACAGAAAGTCAGCAGCTCCCGCACCGACAGGCTACGCGCTCTGTCCACCAACTCAGAGGCCAGGGCAGAATCCTGAGCCTGATTAACACTCTGGTTTCACTAACTTCGGTCAACCTTCCAGTGTTTACTTGAGGGCTCATGGGCACAGACTGCCACTCCGGGAAAGGGTGAATATGCGCCAGAATGCACCTGTGTACGTATCCCATGTGGTGGATGTAGTCAAGGGCCTTGAGCACCCCCTGCAGGATGTAAGCGATCGCCAGCTCATTCATGCCATCCATGAAATGTGTACAGATGAGATCTTTTGCGGAACCTGAAGAGAAGAATTATGGGGAGACAGGGAAGAGTAACAGTGAAGGAAAACTGCACATAAGCCAGCTGACAACAGAATTCTCAGAACCCTTCTCTGCCAGCAGCCCTTTCCCACTCACCATATGCCATGAATGATGTGACAACCCACAGCTCATTGTCTGCAATAAAGGTGGCTTGATATGGCAGGATATTGGGGTGGTTGAAGAGTTTGGAGACATGAAGTTCCCCCTGAAACCAATGGTAAGCGGAGGTCAGAATCAAGGTGCACTGAGGAATGACACTCCACAGGAAGGTGGCAGCATGAATAATATGGAGACCTCATACTTTTTTCTGGGTGCTCTTCCCAGAGTTCTGAGAGCAAGCTGAGCAGGTAGCTCCAAGACGAAAGAAGCTGGGTTCTGTTCTCTCTGCAGAGAAGGCAGCACTGCTCTGCCAGCCAATCTCAGAGAGCCCCCAGAAACAATTCCCCTCCAACGGGAAAACTGCTAGCAACACAGTTCACCCCCATGGAGGTGATAAAAACAAACTGTTGATTGAAGACTTATGAAGTTCTAAGTTTAGCTCAACTTCAAGGGTCAAGGCACAGAACTCCTCTTGAAGATAAAAAAAGGAAACGAGAAATATTTTCCTATTATAAAGAAAAATGTAGCCAACAGAAACAAAGGAAGCAAGCATTAAAGAAAACAACAACTATTAATATGGGAAGGTATTTCTCCAGCAACCTCAGATTGAGAGATCATTTCCTTAGGAGCAGCTTTAGAAAGTGTAAGACCTATGAAATTTTAAAATTAATTTAGACAAAAGATGTGGAAAAAATTGGACAGTGAACTCTAGAAACTCTAGGGTCCTGGCCTTTGGGATGTGAGCTATGGCCAAATAGTCAGTACCTGCTATTCTGTTCCACAGAACGACATGCTCTAGGACAAAGTCAGGTATGTTTTCCCCCAAATAACTCAGTTGGCTCTGACTTTCTGTCCCATCCTCAGATCTGTAAAACTACTCTGAATCTGTGAACTGGTATTAGGGCACTGTCAGATGAGCATGATTTCAGAAAAACATCATAAATAAAGAAGGGAAGGGGGTGCAACTACCTGTACTGACAATACACTGACCCAGGCCCTAAATCTAAGGACTTCCCAGGGCAAGCCTCCATCAGCCAAGGGGAATTCAGTCCGCAGCGGGCTGTTAGGCCTAAGGTCTCTCCTTCTCCAATAGAAAGGAACCTCAGGCACATAGGACACTAAGAGCCACGAGATGGACACCTGTGGCAGTGCAGGTTGCCCCACATCTGGAGCAGAACTGCCTGGGTTTGCATCCTGCCTCTGCCACTTACTAGTGCAAGTGACTGTGGGCAAGTTACTTACTTAGCCTCTCTAATAATAAATAAATGAAGCACAAAGGACTCGCTGGAGAAAAGGGGACTATAAATTGGGTTGAGCAGTATTACAGAATCCTTAGTACCAGGATTCTTCATTGAGAGCGTGCATAACTCGTTGGCTCGGTAGACCTTCATTTCCTGCCAGTTACTTGCAAGAGACAGAGGTAAGAGATGCCTTGTAATTACTACTGGGCCTAAGAGCCCACCCTCCAAATGTCACATTCATATCTTATTACCTGCAAGAAGGTCACCATCTCGTTGGAACAGGCTTCTAGGTTAACCCTTCGTACTGTCACATACTCTCTGGTTGGTTTGTACCTTGCCAGGTTCACTGTCATCAGGTCCTCAAAGCCTTTGCCTAAAAGAAAAGAGGAATGCCATCAACAAGGACAACAGCAACAAAGGTCCTCTTCCTCCTTCAAGAGATTTGATTTCAAAAGAAAATTCAAGTTAAAATTTTCATTACTTTTACTTTCATGGCTGATAATTCTCGGTTTTTCTCCCGTTAGTTCCTTCTCTGTCAACCACTGTGACTGACTATGGCCCAGGACACCACAAGTGTGCAGCCAAAAAGAAAACATTGCAAGAGTTCCTTTCCTGGTAAAATGATCTCTCTTCCCATACTTGGAAAAACAAAGCCAAAGAAGACCCATAAAAGCCAGTGTGTCACCACAAATCCAGCAAGTCACTGACAGCCTTGGGCACATGTTCTGGAGATGCTGGGAAGCTGCAGCCGAACCCTGGAGCATAAAGGTCAAGACAGCCCCTGGACATTACCTATAATGGTGAGTAGCTCGTAACACCCTCCTTCTGGCAGAAAGCTACTCATGATCTCCTGCTTAGGGAAGGATGCTATCGACTCTGAGCTCGCCTCATTGGTCTAAAGAAAAAGAAAAAGAAGTTGATAAGATAAAATTGGGGGTGGGGCAGAAGTGGGGAGGTGGTAATTCAGACCCACAAGGAGACTGGCATCTAGACAAACAGAAATTCTGACTCTGGGGCAAAGCACTGGGAGCAAAGAACTGGTACCAGCACTCTCTGAGGAGAAATGTAAAGTTAAGCATCAGGTGCTGGACGTAGCCTGGTACCGCAGCAAGCGTCGGCACCATCTACAAATGCGCACACAGGAGGCAAGGCCAGTTCCAGTCAGCTGCTGATTTGCTTGTCCTTCCAACTGGCTCATTTGCCAAGAACTATAAACTTCTTTTAAAATTAAAAAATTATACTCTTCCAATTACAACAGACATTTAGTATTATATTATTTTCAGGTATACAGCATAGTGAAAACTGTAAAATTCTCACCTGAGGAAAGGCACATTAACAAAACAGAAGGGAGATGGAGAGGTGGGAGGGTCTCTTGCATTTCCTGTTGCATTAGGGTCCTATTTTTAAGGTCCTGACTGTAAGATCCCAAAGATCACACACTCAACCTTGCTACAGAAGGTCTCCCTTGCTTTTGCTCTTTGGCAAAGCAAGACCCCAGACCAATCATTCCCTGACATTTCCAAGGGAAGCAAGAACACAGCCAACAAACACACTGGGCTGTGGGTGAGAAAAGATCTGTCAGGCCTCGGCCATCATCCCAGGCAGCAAGGGCGACCTGCTCCTTGCTCCTGCCCGTTTGTGCTGGAAATGAAGCTGGAGCCCAGCCATTCAGGATGCGGGCGTCACACCACCACTGGCTTTCTAGGTCCTGAAGGGAAGTGTCCAGCAAAATACATGGCGACACACAGCTCTTCCTTCATCTTAACAGGCCAGACCTAGATGTATTTGTATGACTTAGGGGCTGTGTATTTTTCTTTCTTTTGGATCCTCTTTCTTTGGATGTGCACCTAACTAAAATGGAGAACCTCAGGCCAGCTCATATTTCATATGCCGTGTCCATAAACCTGACCTCTAGTCAGAAAGATGTCTTTTTGAATGCACAAAAGGTTCTTGCCTCAGCACCAACCGGAACAGTGTGAACTGAGAATGTTCAGACATGGTGGTACCACCTCCTTTAATCAATTTTGTATTTCTAAGATTCGTTTATATTGCTGTATTTAGCCAGATTGCACACCATGTTATATAATATTCACCTTGGGGACATATCTCAATTTATCCATCCTAACATTGGTAGGCTTCTGGGTTGTTTTTCAGTTCTGTTACTCTGAACTGTGCTACTAGAAACACCTTTGAATGTGTCTCCTAACACACATATGCAAGAGTTCCTCTAAAGCTGATACCTAGGAATGGAAGTGGTAGGTCACAGAGTATATGAGCAGTTGACTTTACAAGATGATGCCAAACTGCTTTGCAAAGTTGCTATACCAAGACACACTCCCACCAGCAATGTATGTATGTTCTTGTTGGCCCATCTTTCCCCCAACACTTGCTGCATTCGGACTTAATTTTTGTCAGTCTCACAGTCTCCTTGTGGGTCTGATTTACAATTTCCTGATTGCTAATGAAGTTGAGTATCTCTTCATATATTTATTGGCCATCTGGGTTTCTCCAAAGTGGAGATCCTTCTTTCTGTCTCTTGTCCATTTTTCTACTGAGTTGGTTTAATGCAGGATTTCCCCCAAAGTAGGCCCCACGGAACATTGATTCTGGCAGTTAGGCATGAAAAAAGTCTACAGGTCCAATTAAGTTAGAAAACGCAGCACATTCTCTCATGGAGAAATCACAAAGTCTATCTGCACCTTAAAGGCTTTGAAAAGTTCCATAGTAAGGAGATGTGTTCAACTTTCTTTAGCCTAGCATTTCCCAAAGGTACTTGTCCAGAGAACCCTTCTGTGCCTAACATCTGTTAAGTTTTAGATAGGATAATTTGGGAAAGGCTACTTTGAGCAAAACATATAGTATAATGCAAAGACCACAGGCTTAGAAGCCAGCCAGAAGCAGACTTGAACTCAGGTCTATCGTATGTTCTGTGACCCTGGGCAAGTCACTCTCATCTCAAGGGATCTCCGCTATCTTACCAGTGGAGTAAATCCCACTTCATAGTGTTGTTGTGACAATTAAATGAGGTATAATATGTAGAGTCTAGCACTACCTGGTTCTCAGTAGATGCAAATTCTAGTCTCCTCCTCCTGTTGCTCTCTACTTTTCGGTCACTCTCCTACTCAACAAATAAGATGGACAAGAATAAACAGAGAAGCCTACGTAGAGCTTGACCAACAGGCTGGTTTGATTTGGGTTTTCAAATGTTCTGAAAACAAATTCTAGGCTCATTTAATGGCCACCGTAGCTCCTTGAAATAATCTTGTCTTCAGAACAATGTGAAGACTCTTATTACTATATTGCCAGGGCCTCACAAATAAGAGAGACACATGGCTAACACACAAGAACAGAGTAGCAATTTGAGCAAAAATTTTAAACCAAAAGCTCTGAAATGGTGACTCCTCGTTTGTTTAGAATTTACAAGCTGCATGCTAAGTTAGTCTTGAAGGGTCTCATCTTCTTACCCTTATATCTCTAACCCCCTCCACATATTCTTGCTCTGCAGATCCTGTGTTCTTAAGTATCAATCTACTCCTCAATAAAATCCATGTCACCAGTTAACACAAGCCCAGGGGACTGCTTTCAGACCCAGCTGCCTCCTCTGGCCTGTAAGCATCCCCTTGCTTAGCCCCTGCCTGCTTCCAGGGCTTCACCCTACACCACCCTCCCTTCACTCCTTACGCTTGTTGCTCCAGTCTAGGGAAACCTGCACCAGCTGTCTTTGTCGGGAATACTGCTGCCCTACTCTTTCCCTGTCCCTTCCATTTTCTCACAGTTGCTTCCTCCTTATCACGGAGGTCTGAAAACGTTTACTCATTGAAGACGGTCCAGTCAAAGTAAAGTAGGCTCCTAGCCTCTTTGTTATCTTGCTTTACTTTCTTCACAGTAGGTATCTTTGCAGTCTTATCTGTCGCCTGTGTCCTCTAGCAGGATGCAGGCTCCACAAGGCCACAGACCGTGTCCATCTTGCTCCCCAATGCCTACAACAATGCAGGCACATACTTAAAAATCATTTAAACAAAGTTTGAACTGAGCAAGTTTCCTGCCCATGACCTCATCATACCCACAGGTCGAAAAGGAGAGGAGGGTACCAGCCGGTTCCTTTGGAGACAGGGTTCAATATAAGGACCTATACTGGAAATGCCAGTCCTCATATAACACATTCACTTGGGGCACGGTATAGATCAGAATCCGTACCTGCATGTGAGAAAGTACAGCAGGTCCTCAAATAATGTTGTTTCATTAAATGTCATTTCATTGTAACATGGATGAGATGCTGAAAGAACTTAACTCTTATTTATATTAATTAGCCTATGGTTATGCATTATTTCTCTTAAAGTTGCAGAACCTATCAACAATGTTAAGTGAGGGCTTACTATACTGCATTTAAAAAAAAAGATTTTATTTATTTTAGAGAGAGGGGAAGGAGAAAGACGGAGAAAAACATCCATGTAAGTAAATCACTGACCAGTTGCCTCTTGCATGTGCCCCAACCGGGGTACCAGGCTTGTAACCGGGGACCAGGCTTGTAAGGCATGTGCCCTGACCGGGAATTGAACTGGTGTCTCTTTTGCTCTGCGGGATGATGCCCAACCCACTGAGCTACTCCAGTCAGGGTTGTACTGCATATATTTTTAGCTTTTTTTTTGTCCCAGTGAAAACAACAAATCTGGCACTACTCTGAAGGTCTTCTATCCTCTAATCTCCAGGCAAACTCCTACAGGATAGCTGGAGTCTTAAGGCTAAAATGTTTATTATAGACATCTTAAATAACTCCCTTTGGAAAAACTATAGACACTTACTTTTATTTACCTATGCCCTTCTTCCTTGCTAGGACTGCATATAAAATACACTGTCCGCTAGTCTACACTCCAAAGACATATGCTTGTTTAATCTGGATAAAGAATGATTCATTAAACTGATATGATTAGTTAATAAATTTACAGATATTCCTATTATCTTTGTTGACTATGGAAAGCTACTCAAAAGCATTGGTTTTGGAAAGTAAAATTCTAAATTTTACTTTGCAGTTGCGTGAAGGGGATCCTCCTAGCGGTTGCTGGGGCCCTACTACCACTCTGCCCTCAACCCACTGGAAATGACCCTCAATTGGAGGTGCTAGGTTTTGTGGAGGTCCTGGAGGTATGAACTCAGAGAAAAATCACACTTTACTTAGAAAAACAAAGGCAATATTTTGAAAGGAAGAGGTCTGTTCTGACACTGCCACAAGAGAGGCAGGTGTGGCTCAGTGGGTTGGGCATCGTCCCACAGAGCAAAAAAAGTCACCAGTTCAATTCACGGTCAGGGCATATGCCTGGGTTGTGGGCCAGGTCCCTGCTGAGGGCGTGTCAGAGGCAAGAGATCGATGTTCCTCTCTCCTCTTTCTCCTTCCCTCCCCCTCTCTCTAATAAATAAATAAAATCTTTAAAAAATAACGAAATCGACTCAGCATGGCATAGATTTAATGTGATGCAAAATTTCACATTGCCTGAAGAAACTAATTCTGTCAAAGACTTTTCCCCCACCATAAAAAGCAGTATTTTTCATGTTGAAGCATTTGAAAAATACATAAGCTACTGATATCCAGAAATGACCATAACATGACAACTTTTTAAAGCATTCAAAACAAAACAAAGCATACAAAACAATATTGGTGAAAGGTTACCAAATAAACACATTTAACCTCCCCCAGGTTTCACACAGGAGAGCTTTTTGGTGTAACATCGGCAACTGTGAAAATATAAAAATTATATGTAATTGGCATTGTATTCTGGAGATACCTAACTGATCTTAGAGAAAACATTTTTGAGCCCTAGCTGGTGTAGCTCAGTGGATTGAGTGTGGGCTGCAAACCAAAGGATCACTGCCAGCTAGATTCTCAGTCAGGGCCTGGGTCGCAGGCCAGGTCCCCAGTAGGGGGCGTGTGAGAAGCAACCACACATTGATGTTTCTCTTTCTCCCTCCCTCCCCTTTTCTCTAAAAATAAATAAATAAAATCTTTAAAAAAGAGAGAAAGAAAAACAACATTTTTGGTCTCCTGACTGGACAATATTTGGATCTGAGAGAGAGGTTCTTGCTCCTGACTAGCAGACTATTGTCAGCACAGCCAAAACTTTGCTAAAGAAAAATTCCTAGTCAACAGGCTCACCCTTCACTCAACCATGGGACTGTTGCAAAGGTGCAAATGTCTGCCATCTGGAAAGCGTAGCAAGTGTCTTTAGAAAAGGTTTCTTACCCTCTCTGTTTATAAGACACTGATTTGATTGATCAAAAATAGCTTGGTACACTATGCACATCTGATGTTATTTACTCTGGTAAAATAGGCTTGAAGAGTAGGAAGCCCGGCAAGAGTCTTTTGCAGCTTTTGCCAATAAAAAATGCATTTTCTGTTTTGTAGTTTTTAATTTGGGGCTTTTTAATTTTTATTTTTAAATATATTTTATTGATTGTACTATTACAATTGTCCTAATTTCCCCCCTCTCTCCCACATTCCCCCCCTTTAGTTCACATCCATGGGTCATACATATGAGTTCTTTGGCTTCTACATTTCCTATACTATTCTTGCCCTCCCCCCTCTCTCTCCTCCTCCCCCGCTGATAACCCTCCATGTGATCTCCATTTCTGTGGTTCTATTCCTGTTCTAGTTGTTTGCTTAGTTTGATTGTTTTTGTTTTAGGTGTGGTTGTTAATAATTGTGAGTTTGCTGTCATTTTACTATACATGTTTTTTATCTTCTTTTTCTTAGAAAGTCCCTTTAACATTTCATATAATAAGGGCTTGGTGATGATGAACTCCTTTAACTTGACCTTATCTGAGAAGTACTTTATCTGCCCTTCCATCCTAAATGAAAGCTTTACTGGATAGAGCAATCTTGGATGTAGGTCCTTGCCTTTCATGATTTGAAATACTTCTTTCCAGCCCTTCTTGCCTGTAAGGTCTCTTTTGAGAAATCAGCTTGACAATCTCATGGGCACTGCTTTGCAGGTGACTCTCTCCTTTTGTCTTGCTGCTTTTAAGATTCTCTTCTTATCTTTAATCTTGGGTAATTTAATTATGAGGTGTACTGGTGTGTTCCTCCTTGGGTCCGACTTCTTTGGGACTCTCCAAGCTTCCTGGATTTCCTGGAAGTCTATTTCCTTTGTCAGATTGGGGAAGTTGTCCTTTATTATTTGTTCAAATAACTTTTCCACTTGTTGCTCTTCCTCTTCTCCTTCTGGTACCCCTATGATTCAGATGTTGGAATGTTTAAAGATGACCTGGAGGTTCCTAAGCCTCTCCTCATTTTTTTTGAATTCTTGTTTCTTCAGTCTTTTCTGATTGGATGTCCGTTTCTTCCTTCTGGTCCACTCCAATGATTTGAGTCCCAGTTTCCTTCCCATCACTAGTGGTTCCCTGTACATTTTTCTTTATTTCACTTAGTGTAGCCTTCATTTTTTCATCTAATTTGTAACCAAATTCAACCAATTCTGTGAGCATCGTGATTATCAGTGTTTTGAACTGTGCATCTGATAGGCTGGCTATCTCTTGGTCGCTTAAAAGTATTGGCTCTGGAGCTTTGATTTGTTGTGTTTGAGCCATAATTTTTTTGGTCTGGTTGCACCTGTTATGTATGAGGGGCAGAGCCTTAAGTACTCACCAGGGTGGGGCAACCGAGTTGCTGGGTTGTGATGCTATATGTGAGGGAGGGGTCAAGAGGGAACAATGGCACTTGCTCCACTCTTAGCTGGATTTCAGTCACTTCCCCCGTTTCCCCGAAGCAAATTGAGCCCTTCTGGTGCCGATTCCCAGGTAAGTGGGCTTGTGTACATTCTAGGACCTTATGGGTCTCTCCCACGAATTCTCCTGTGAGGCTGGGAGTCTCTCCCACTGCCTCAAACCCCACAGGTGTTTCCAATCAGTTATTTGAGGCTTTATTTCCTGGAGCTGGGACCCTGGGTTGCATGGTCTGTCTCGTTCCCCAGTTTCACCTGGTTTATCTGCTTGTGAATGTGGGACCACCCAGTCTGCCAGCCACCGCGTGCACTGCACCCCTCCACAATCTGCCGCCTTGCTGAGTCTGCCGGCTGCGGCCTTGCAGGCCGGGGGTCGCCAGCCACCGCTTTGCTGCGACCCCTCTCCCCAAGCCATCGGACTCCGTCCCTCCTACTGGTCTGGATGAATGTGTCTACTTTAACTCCTTGGTCGTCGGACTTCCATACAGTTTGATTTTCTGTAAGTTCTGGTTGTTTTTTGTTTTTAAATTTGTTGTTGTCCTTATTTTGGTTGTGTGAGGAGGCACAGTGTGTCTACCTACGCCTCCATCTTGGCCAGAAGTCCTGATTTGGGGCTTAAAAAAAGATATTATTTTATTTATGTTTAAAGAGAGCAGTAGAGAGGGAGAAAGAGAGGTAGAGAAATATCAATGTGAGAGAGTAACATCGATGGTTGCCTCTCTCACAACCCTGACCAGGCACCTGGCCTGCAACCCAGGCATGTGCCCTGAACAGGAATCAAACCTGAGACCTTTCAGTTTGCAGGACAATGCCCAACCTACTAAACCACACCAGTCAGGGCTTGGGTTTTGTTTTTAAGGCAGCAGATTAGACATCCTGCCTTATAATCTAGACAGGTTATCATTTGTCAATATCTCTGTAGACTAAAATCTATTAACAGACTAAGGATGGAAAATTTGGTACCACTAGCCACTAAAAGGTAACCACATTTTAGATGGTTGGACTTTCTCCTGTTTTGGAGGGGGTGGCAGGTAACTGGGAAGGCTGGGAAGGGGAGGAGACCTTAATCGCCAGGAGAGAGGCAAAAAGTGACCAAGGTTTTTTTTTAGTTTTCAAAGTATACATAAAAATCTTTCCAGGGTGAAACCTCAATCTCCACAAGTCAAAGAATTACACTTCAAATAAAACTCAACAACAAGCAGAAACAAAATGATAAGCCAACAAAACCCACAAACTTCCACAAGAAGTCACGTCCATGCAACAGCCATAGTGGTAGAGCCTAGAAAGTCACTTACTTTTCTCCGAGTGTCACCCGGAGGCTGCTCTGGAGTAGAGAAACGGGTTGTTGGCATTTTGTTTTTCAGTAGAAGACACACCCACATTCAGGACAGCAATTATTGCACTTAGGACTACATTTATTAATAGACACCACTTAAGAGTCATTACAGTGGAAAAAGTGCCTGCAGTGCCACATATAAACACAGACCCCCGGACACACACACACAACTGCATGGTAAAAATGCTGCAGACAAGATGGGGTTTTTAACATGAATCTATGACTCTTCAAAACTTGGCCTGGCTACTATTCCATGGGTATTCTTTACTGAGTATAACTCAACTGCTATAATCCCGGTGATACACTGACTTTTCATCGGCATGCAATGGTATTTCTAATAATCTGGTTTCAGAGTCTTATACTGTGAACAAACAACTCATTATAAAGTTATAGTTATGGCTGGCTATTTCTCAGGGAGTGCAGGGACTAGACAGCAGGCTTAAAAAGAAGGCAAACAAAGTTTTCATACAGCAGCATGTGTATGTGGGACCATCACTCAATTTGATTCTCCAGCCAGACATTCTATTCCAAATGCAAATAAAGCAAAGGCTTTGAGGCCCTCTGCTACTCTTAGCAAAAACAAATGGAGCAGAGGAAAACTGAAACAACTTTCTGCTCTTAAATTGGACAAATTCTGTATCTGTGCTTTTGATTTTCTCCCCTCTGTAAATAAAAATAAAGCCACATTTTTACTGTATTGGAAACATTTCCAATTATCTTAAATTATAAATTACAGCATCTAACTGTGTTGCTAGAGGAGACTGGCTACAGAGTCAATTAGACTTGATTTATCAAAATAAGATTTTTTCTGGTGTTGGACATCAGTTTTCTGGTACACAAAAAAGTGTTTCTGGCAGGAACAGTTGCTTAAGACAGTCTGCCAAAGGTAAGAGCCAGGTGAATAGACTAAAGGAAATCAAACCCAATCTTCCAGAGTAGAGGGCAAATTTCAAGTTGTATAAAACTTGGTAGCACATGCTTCATCAAGCTGCAAATAATATACAGAACAATCTCTTCATCTTCCCCAGATCAGAGATTAGTGATTTGTCAAAACATAGCCAGAGATCCTACACTCAAGACACTGAAACCAAAATCTATTCATTCAATTCACATATACTGGAAATTTTTTAACTAATAGATTATAAACTGGATTCCAGCTCAATTTCCATCAATGCCAATGTTTATTTTTAAACCACTGTATTCCCATTAATGATGGGAAGAAACTGAAAACAGAACCAGAATATAATATTTTTGTACCATTAGTCTTCCCTTTATTGTATGGCTAATTTTTAGTCTTTATACAACAAAAACAAAAATAATTCATCATTTTTCTAAACTCTCATTTGTCTAAGACACACTTTGACAAGCTTCACAAATAATTCTACTCCAGAAGTTTGTTGAGTGGCATTAGGGAAAATAAATCCATAGGTATCACCTAGTAACTAACAAGTTTGAGTTTTCAATTACTTAAGCCACTCGAGGGATATTCTGCATCAGTCACCCAATGCATTCAATCTGATAATGTGTTTCTTTAGCTACAGGTGCCAAAGAGAGTATCTTGGTGTTCAGACACAAAGAATAGGGCTCTACTACTATTATTTTTCTAGAAAAGAATTTTATTTAGCATATTAAGATCACAGTTCCCCAAAAGGCTAAATTTGAAAATAGCCAAAGGAAGATGCCTGGGCCTGTTAAATCTCTAGGATGCAAAGCTAAATTACTTCGGAAATCAACATTTAGATTTTCCAATAGGAAGTTAATATTTTGGTTCTGACAAATTTTTTCCCTTAGTTCTCTTAAGTCTCATAATTTCTATCATGAAAAGATGAGTCAACTAAACTGATCAGTAAAACCAGAACTTTCGCATCATTGCTACCTTTGTCCTGACTGTAATTTTTATTTTTTAAGTGTTCAGGACTAGTAGCTTTTAAATGGTTAGTTTTTTTTCCCTATAGGAATATGTATTTCAACTAGACAAATACTTAGAAGAAGAAAGACATGTGCCTTTAAGTGAATGCTGGCTTTCTAACACCGAGCCTGGCTAACTGACAACGGCTAGATTAGTCCTCAAGTCTCTGTGAAACCATGGATTCAAAAGGAGTTTACACTTCCCCTTAGAATGCTAATTTCTATACATTGATTCAGTCAACAAAAAAGTAGTGAGATTTATCCTGAAGTAATGACTAAATGCCATACTGTACTTACCTCCAAATAGTTCCAAATCTCTTAAGCCCTCAACAATGAACTTTTCCGAGACCCACCGCTAAAGAGGAAAACCCCAAAGAGAATTAGTATTTCTTCCAAGCCAAAAAAATTAGCTATCAGCCATTAGACAGACAATAAAACACAACTACAAAAACAGAACCATGCAGTAAAGATATACTTCTATTGAAAACTTTCGAAGAATCCTAGATTTAAATCAACCCCAAACAATAGATTAATTCCTTTCTCTATTCCTCTTTGCCTAATTTGATGAATAATTCTTAAATCTGAAAGATGAGAAACACGTAGTACTGGCCTGATAATGAAGAATGTTTTTCTCCTTCCTATATATATAACAACCTTTTGGATCCATCTTACTTATTCTATAGCTGCCTATTATAGATGCTTAGGACCATGAATGCCACTGTGAAAAATACTACTGAAATTCACAATAGAAAATAGAAATGAAACCGTAGTTTTTCACAAGCCTCTATTCGTTTGTAAAAGGAAACTGCAAGGTGCATATTCTTTCATCTACTAGGATGTCTGAAGACATTACTGCTTACATTTGCTACCAAATGCTATCCTTACAAGGACCAAACTAGCATGACCAATCTATGGTTCACTTTACTGGCCTATTTCAAACGAGTATTGGATTTCCATCATAATGATCAGTGGTCTGGTTTCACCTGAATCAGACTAGGTTGAAACAGAAAAGAAGCTCATATTTAAAAGCAATGGAATCAAGATTGTATTTCACTTAAGGACTGGTGTTAAAGTTTGGCTTGGGGACATTCTTTCCACTGCGCAGAGTTCAGGCTAAGGAAAGAATCTGTTTTTCCTCTTAATTAAGAGTGAAGTTTACTCTTTACAATATAAATTGTTTATACACACACATACACATATATACACATACATAAGAAGATTAAGTACCATTCAGAAATAAGGTGCAAAATACAAATCATGAATTGGAACTATAACATTATTCTTTCTTTCTCTATATCAATTTTTTTCTAAATTAAAAATAAACACTTAACTTTTTTAAATGATATATAAAAAATCACATGTACTGTGCCTCAAGATATTTAATAAAAATAAGCTGTTTCACTTTAATATGTAAAGAAGGTGTCATATTGATAATGTCTCATAGCATTTATACATTGTTACAAGATTTAAAAATAATTACTACTGCATTTAGAAATTAACTACTTCATAATAAAATAAAGGATACAGAAATAGACCCATGCATACATATGTGGTCAATTAATTTATGGTCAAAATATGATACCCTTTTATGAAATCATGGAAGCTTGTAAAGAAGTTAAGTCCAGTATTTGTTCTTGAGGTAATTTTAGCTGACAAAGTTCAGGTATAATGAAATTTTTCATGTTAAGAAAGTCCTCATTTAAAACCTATGATTACAGTTAGAAAAAACAGTGTTCTAATAACTGCAATTTGATACTGATTTATTTTTATTGTATTTTTTCCATTACCATTTGTCCTCCTTATACCACCCACCCCTGCAATCACCACACTGTTGCCTGTGTCCATGAGTCCTTTTTCCCTCTTTGCTCAATCCCTCCACCCACTAACCCTGCCCCGGCGCTGTCAGCCTGTTTTCTACCTGTGAGTCTGTCTCTGTTTTGCCGGTTAGTTCAGTTTGTTCATTAGATTTTTAAAACACACAACTGCTGAAAATACATAAAAAATGGGGAGGTAGCCAGCAGTTACATATCTGCACATTCAACTGATTTAATGTTGAATGACTGATATTGAAAAAATGTACCACTTATTTCTCCTCTATCAGACAAGCTGGTGGGTATATGCCGTGTCTCTGGTCGGCCTCTGCCTGCAAGCTCTTTTCTCAGGAGCAGAGGCTGAGATACCTGATTACCTTCCCACATCCCTCACTTCTGCATGATTCTGAGCATCACATAACAAATCACCTACAATACTGCCAAAACACTTTGCTTTGCAGAAAATAAGAATAGTAAAGCCAGAAGAATAGAAACACTCACCCTAATTCGCTCTGGTTTACTTACAAGAAAAGACATGAGTTCCTAATGTGTAGACCTATTTCAATTTCAAAAATTTAAACCTAAAAGGAAAATAGAAACAGGTTGAGTTAGTCAAATCTCCTTTTACAGAAATACCTTTTGACTAACTAGAAACTTACTACAAATCTACCATTCAAAGCACTGTATTAAAGCCATAAATTGCTAGATTCCAGTGACTTAGTTTCTCTAAACAATCAACTTGAATGTACTTTAGCCAAGTGCATCCTGAAACAACCCAATCTCTATAAGAAGAGTTTATTATGTGGTTTTCTTCCTTAATGTTTAAATTTCTCTTGACTGTTCTCACTGATCCTTTCCCAGAAGCAATTACCTTCCATTCTTTTGGTCTTTTAACCTGTTTTTCATCATCATCACCATCTTTTTTTAAAAGATTGTATTTATTTATTTTTAGAGAGGAGAAAGAGAGGGAGAGAAACATCAGTGTGAGGCTGGCTCTTGCAGGGCCCTCACTGGGGACCTGGCCTGCAACCGAGGCATGTGCCCTAGACTGGGAATCAAACTGATGACCCTCTGGTTCACAGGCCAGCATTCAATCCACTGAGCCACACCAGCCAGGGCCATCACCATCATGTTTGTACACTGAGTTTAGGTAGAGAGGAAAGGGTGGGGGGAGAGAGGGGCGGGAGAGAGAGAGAGACATCCATCTGTCGGTTGCCTTTTGCCTTCCTATACACCCTGACTGGGATCAAACTTGCAACCTTCTGGTGTATGGGAAGACATTCCATTCTGAGCCACATGGCCAGGGTATCATCATTCTTAACTAGTGTTTATATGACCATGATTTCCCCACTTTAGATATTTATGTACTAACTTCCAACCATGGTAGATGAAGACTAAGCTCTCCTGTGTCACCTTCCTGCACTCTACTTTCCTGCCTTCATTCTTCCAATGAGGTTCTGGCATGACTGTTGACTAAATCAGTAGTACGCATTTGTACTGGACTACAAACACGGTTCACAGCTGAGGCAAAGAGATAAAGATGACCATGTCTTCTTTCTTCACATCCATTTAATAATTGCCTTTTTTCATGCCCTTGGTTTTCCACATAGCTATTATTAACTTTCTCCAAATACTTTACATCTCTTCCATTTGTCCTACCAATATATTTTTCCATAAACTGAAATTCCCCTGGAGATTGCTCTCCCAGCGCCCTCCATCCTCCTGCTGTAATCAGGACCAACTGCTCTTTTGCACCTCTGCACTTTTCTATTCAGATCTCCCATTTCTGGGAAATGTTCTTGTATTATTTCTTTGATAACTTTGTCTCCTCTATTTTCTGTTCTCATGTTATAGAATTCCCAATAAAAATACACTTCTAGAGTTATCCCTTAATTTTATACTTGTTTCACTTCTATTTTATAACTCTCCACTTTCCAGGAGGTTTTTTCAACTTTACTTTCCAATCCTGCTATATTTTAATTTTTGGTTACACATTTCCAAGAGCTTTTGCCATTTCTTGAAGGTACTTTTTTTCATATCATACTGATCTTGTTTTATGTTTGCTATTTACATTTAAAAATTTGTATCTAGAATGGCTAAAAGCCTAATACCTCATGATCAAGTGGGGTTTATCTTAGGATAAGTTGAAAATTTTAAAATGCATCAGTGTATACAAAACTGTCTTCATTGGAAGTTGTTTGCAAATAAATAACCAATTTTAACAAGCTTTTAAAAATGAATCAATCTAAATTTACTTTATTGAGTAAATAAGAAAAAAATATAATCACCTCAATCATCTCAATGGAGGTAAAGCATCTGACAAAAATTCAACATCAATTCATGATTTTAAAGAAACTCCCAGTCAACTAGGAATAGTCAAATAGGAATAAAATGGAAATAGAATTTTACAGCTGACATCATAATGAATGGTAGAAAGAATGAATGAGTTTCCTCTAAGAACAGAAGCAAAGCTAGAATGCCTGCTCTCATCACTTATACTCATCTCTGTACTAATGATCTTCCCGATGCAGAAAGGAAAAGTTCAAAGGCATTCATGCTGGGGGCAGGTGTATATGAGGTGACTAAATGGTAATGCAGAAAAAAATACAATAAATAATAAATTAAAAATTTTTTAAAGGGCCGTGGCTGGTGTAGCTCAGTGGATTGAGTGCGGGCCTGCGAACCAAACAACCATGGTTCAATTCCCAGTCAGGGCACATACCTGGGTTGCAGGCCAGTTCCCAGCAGGGAATGCACAAGAGGCAACCATACACTGATATTTCTCTCCTTCTCTTCCCCTCTAAAGATAAATAAATAAAGTCTTTAAAAAATTTTTAAAAGGCATACAGATTGGAAAAGAAGGTGTAAGAGACTATTCATAGACAACAGGACTGTGTACACAGAATATGCTAGGTAGTCTACAAAAAATCATTAGACCTAAGAAAACAAATTTAGAAAGAAAGTCCATTATAAAACCCAACTCTTTCTATATGCTAACAATGAACAATTAGAAGATAAAATTTTAAAACCAATATCACAATAAATATAAATAAAACAACACAATTTATCAACAAAACATAAAATAAGTAGGATTGATTTTAATAAATTATGGATAAGACCTGTGTATTTAAAACCCTACATTGTTAAGAGGGGTTAAAGATGATCCAAATAGCTAAGCCATCTTCAGAGACTGAAAGATTGAATATTGTTAATATATCAGTTCTCTCCAAACTGGTCTACAGATTCTATACAACCCCAATCAAAATATTAGCAGAGTTTCTGAGAGAAATTGATTAACCTGATTCTAAAATTTACATGGAAATACAAGGGACCTAAAATAACTAAAACATTTGAAAAAGAACAATGTTAGAAGATTTATATTATCTGATTTCTACACTTACTTTAATGCTACAATAATCAATAATGCTATACCTCAGTCTAAAGACTGACAAATGGACCAATGGAACAGAATAAAGGATCCAGAAATAGTCCCATGCATACATATATGATCAGTTAATTTTCAAGAGAGCAAAGTAATCTCATGGGAAAAAAATCTTGACATATATTTAGAAAAAAATGAACTTTGATCCTTCCCTTATACCATATATAAAAATTAACTTGAAATGAGAACCAAATGGGGGAATGAGTAAACAGGATGAAGGAATTAAGATGTACAAATTGCCCGTTATAAAACATCACAAGGATGTAAACCACAGCACAGAGAATAGAGTCAATAATACTGTAATAACGATGTGTGGTGTTAGATGGGCACTAAGTTTACTGGGATGATTACTCCATTATATAAATGTCTAAACTATGTTGTACACCTAAAACTAATATTGTATATCAACCGTAATTTAAAAATAAAAAACAATAATTTAAAATGGATCACAGAACTGAAGAAAAAGTTAAAGTTAAAACTACTAAAGAAAACAGAAAAGAAAATCTTCAAGATCTTAGGATAGATAAAGATTCAAAAAAAGCACAAAACACTAAAGAAAAATGATAAATTGAATTCATTAATGATAAATATTAATGAAAATGATAAAAATGATAAATATTAAAATTTAAAACTCCTACCTTTGAAAAGACACCACAAAGGACATGAGAAGATTGGGAGAAAACAGTGTGTGCAGTGTCTACAAAGGACTTTATATAAAGACTACCTAACACAATGGAACACTACTCAGCCGTAAAAAAAAAAGAAAAGGAAAGAAAACTTTACCCTTTGTGACAGCATGGATGGACCTGGAAAACATTATGCTAAATGAAATAAGCCAGTCAGAGAAAGATAAATACTATATGATTTCACTCATATGTGGACTCTAATTAACAAATTGAACTAACAAGCAAAATAGAGACAGACTCATAGATGGGAGGTAAGCTGACAGCTAGTGGGAAGGGGGAGGTTAGGCAGTGGAGGGATTGGGCAAAAAGGAAAAAAAAAAAGACTCATGGCCATGGACAACAATGTGGTGATTGCAGGGGCAGGGTATTAAGGGGGATAAATGGTAATGGAGGAAAAAAAAAAAGACTATCTAAAGAACTAGCCCTGGCATGTAGCTCAGTCGGTTAGAGTGTCGGAATAAGCTAAGGTTGTGGGCTCAATCTTCCCAGACAGGGCACATACAAAAATCAACCAATAAATGCATGAGTGAGTGGAACAACAAATCAATACTTCTCTTTCTCTTCCCCAAATCAACAAATAAAAGTTGGGGGGCAGGGAAAGAACTTCCACAACTCAAAAACAAGACAACTCAATTTAAATAATAGGCAACATATTGGAATACAAGGTATGCAAATTGCCACATAAATTGATGATGTTCAACATCATCAAATGTGGCTATCAGCAGTTACCTTGTCATCAGGTAACTGTACATGAAGCCATAATAAAATACTATACTTCCACCAAAGATGCTAAAAATGCTGACAATACCAAGTGTTGGTTGACAAGAATATCAATCAACTGGAATTCTGATACATTGCTGGTGGAAATGCAAACTAGAATAGTCGCTTTGGAAAACAGTTTAACAGCATAAGTTTTTAATCCTCACTCAAGGACATGTCCATTGCTGAGAGAAAACACTGATCAGTTGCCTCCTGTACATACCCCAACCAGGGATCAAACTTGAAACCTAGGCAGGTGCCTTGACAGAGAATAGAACCTATAACCCTTTGGTGCATGGGACAAGGCTCCAACCAAGCCACTTGGCCAGGACAATTTAATAGCTGCTTATGGCCCAAGAATTCTGCTCCTAGGTAATCTACTCAAAAAAAATGAAAACATATGCTCACATAAATTTGTACATGAATGTTCAGACACCATGAGTCACAATAGCCCCATACTGGAAACAATCCAAACATCCACCAATTGATAAGCATATAAACAAAAGGTGATATATGTACCAGTGGAATACTACTAAGCAATAAAAAGGAATAGCCATGGCTGGTGTGGCTCAGTGGATTCAGTGCCAGCCTGAAAAACAAGGGGTTGTCGGTTCGATTCCCAGTCAGGACATGTGTCTGGATTGTGGGCCAGGTCCCCAGTAGAGGGGTGCATGAGAGGCAACCACATATTGATGTTTCTCTCCCTCAAAAAAAAAAAAAAAACTACTGACACAGACAATGGTATCTTGTTAAGTGAAAGAAGTCAGACACAAATCTACATATTATTTCCATTTATATGAAATACTAGAAAAAGTAAAAACTGCAAAAAGCTGATCATTGGTTGCCTGAGACCAAGGGCGAGATGAGAAACCAACTTCAGAGAGACAAGAACTTTTGGCTGTGATGGAAATATTCTGTATCTTATTGCAATTGCCTGGTGGTTGCATGAGTGTATCTGTCAAAAGTCAACAAACTGCACACTTAAAGTAGGAGTATTTTATTGTAGGTAAACTATATCTCAACAAAGTTGATTTTAAAGTAAAATGACTAAATTATCAGAAATGCTTTTGAAAAATATCCTACATCTCCTCCCCCCCTTTTCAGGTGGGCTAGGGTTGTGGCAGTAATACAGCAGTTGGGGCGGGGCCTTAATCTGGTACCTGGAGTTCTAGGAATCCTCAAAACTGCTTCAGAAAAATCAATGTTTTTCAAACCATGGGAGAGGAGGCCTTTCAAAATTATCTATAGATTTTTATCAAATTGCATTTATTCTTACCTCTACCCTAATCTTATAAAAGCCACCCAACATGTGAAGAATCATTTATCCTGCTATGAAATAGAAAAACTATAAAAAAAAAAGAAAGAAAAACTATAGACTGAATTGGAAAAAAAAGTTAGAATGCATACTGTTTAATAACATTAAACACAAGGCAACATGCAAAAGAAATTTAAGAGGAAACAAGGTCCATACACACGTGTAATCTACAGCAGAAAGAAAAGGGAGTATTAACATAGAGATGAGTTTTATCCACAGGAAAAAGATACTCGTTTGTGCTTTGGGAAAATATTGGAAGTAAAAAGTAAAGTCAATTCCAAAACACGCATAAACAAAACTGCTCTAATTTTAGAGAGACGTGAACTTATTCTAGGTTGCTACATCAACAGCTTCATTAACAATCTGAACCCTCGGTTCCCAAACCAGGGTATTTCAAATTAATTGGTATAGTTACAAAAGCCTATGAATGTGTAAATTCCCACCTTCAAAATTTCTAATTCAGGAGGTATGGTGATGCACAAGTAGAAATGGGCAACTTCTTATTGAGCTCAGCAATGGGAAAGATTACTGGAACGGGTGGATCTGGATAGTTTCATGAAGGGGTAGAGCTTGAATGAATTCTAAGCATGAAGTAGTTATTAGCTACTGGTTATCCGTGGCATACGCTGTCTTGTCCAGAGGTATGCGTATCTCCCAGTTCCTAGAGTAGTACCTACTACATGGTAGGCCCACAGCAATGTGGAATGCCTGACCAACTGCACTGAGAAGTGTGTCAGCATTTAATGGGGGACAGTTATACAGCAGAACTCCACACATAGAGAACAATGAATAGGTCTTAAGTGCATGCTAGAGTATGGATTTTATTCAGCAGTCAGTAGAAAGCCACTGTAGGTTTAAAACAGAAAGGGGACAAATACAAAATTGTGGTCTAAGGTAGTGTCTCTTAAACTTTATTGTACATGCAAATCACTTGAGGATCTTGTTAAAATGCAGATTTCGAATCAGAAGGTCTGTGGTAGAGTCTGGTAGATCTAACAAACTCCCAGACAGTGGGAATCCTGCTGATCTGTGGGACATCACATTTGACAAAGCCTTGTCCTGAGGAACATAGAAGGAATATTAAACTATAAAGAGATGGGAAGGGGGTGAGGTAAAAATAACCCAGAGAAAGGAATGCCAGTTAGAATACAATTATAGTGGACCACAATTGTGGTGAAAGAGCCCGTGGCAGAGGGAATGTTAAGAAATAGAACAAAGAAGTAAAAAAAAGAAAAAAAAGATGGTGAGGAGAAATATTACAGAAATTAGAGTTAGTAGTAAGGACACAGTAAGTCATTTAGCCCACCTACCACCTTTTGAAGAGATGGCTTTTACAAACTCCTGATTATAAGGTTATCTAATCTTTGCTTTAAAATGTCCCATGACAGAGACTTACTACCACCTTATCAGGGACCCCATTCTACCTGTGGACAACACTGATGACTCTGATTTTTTTGTGTGTGTGCTCAAGTAACTAGGAAAAGAGTAGTGTATCAACCGTAAAACAGGAAAGCTCAGAGGTGGAAGTGGTTTTGGTGGAAAGATGAGTCCAGGTCTTTACATCATATTGCAGTTGAGAGAACAGTAATATATTCAAGTGGAAATACATAGCATTCACTTAGAAAGTTAAGACTGATGCTCAACAGAGAGGTTAGAGATGGCTATGTGGACCTCGGAGTCAGGAGTTAAGGCTATACAAGTGACAGAAATTCAGTAAAGGAAAAAAATGGTGAGAGAAAAACAGAAGGGTGGGAAGAGCCTTGGGACAGGTCCACAGTGAGGACCTTGAAAGGCAGGGAAGAAATGGAACCCAAAGGAAACTTTCAAGATCCTGCTTTACCTTCAGAACCACCTTCCTGCCCCAACCTGATTAACTTAGACCTGTCCCTCTCAGGTGTCTTGTGCTTTGGGAAGTCCTCCCTAACTCCCTCTGAATTCAACTCTTACACCTACCACACTTTTTTTTTTTTTTTTTTTAAAGATTTTAGAGGGGAAGGGAAGGAGAGAGGGAGAGAAACATCAATGTATGGTTGCCTTTCATGCATCCCCTGCTGGGAACCGGCCTTCAGGGAACTGGCCTGCAACCCCGGTATGTGCCCTGATGGGAATCAAACCACGATTGTCTGGTTCACAGGCCCGCGCTCAATCCACTGAGCTACAGCAGCCAGGGCTTACACCTACCACACTCTTAATTGCCTATTTATCAGTTCCCTCCACCAGAATACCATATCCTTGAGGGTAGGAAATGATGGAATGACCTTGTTCACTGCTGCATTCCCAGGGGCTACTGTGCCCAACACATTATATGGGCACTTGGTTGCTGCTAAATTAATAACAGTAAAAATAATAAAAGCAGCAAGCATTTATGGTGCATTTACTATGTGCCAGGATCTGTGCTAAATGCCTCACAGAGATCAACTCACAATAAGTATTATCTCCCCTGTTTTATAGATCAGAAAATTCAGACTCAGAGAGGTTAAACATTGAAAGTTACTCTACAAACCGGAGAAGCACAAGGGAGACCTGTCAAGATCCTGTGGGCAAAGATAAAATGACTGAGAAGGCATCGCCTGATTTGACAATGCTGTTGACTAGATGACAGATGGTATATAAAGGAGAATTCCTTTACCTTGATTTAATTTTGTTTCATTCCCCCCCCCCCCTATTTTTAGCACTGGTTTTCTAAACTTCCTGCATGTCTGGGGTTCAACTATATTGCATTTGAACCACAAAATTTCTAAGAGACCTGGTTAAAGAGTGAATAAATTTAACCAGTTCAGCATTGTAACCAATGGCTGAAGAGCTCCTGGCCTGGCACGGGTAATCAGATAGGATTTGGTTTCTTCAGCTCTCAGGAACAAGGAACAGTCTTGGGTATCTCAACACGTATGAATCAGTCAATGAAGAACTGCCTAATGCCGCAAATACATACTGGAATATGGTTCTACAAACAGACATTTAGATAAGAAAGGGGCCCATTGGAATGACTGTTCCTCTTTGGGGGATAAAGTTAGGATATGTTAGGATATCTTAGCAGAAGGCTGGTCAGAGAAGTTAGTTGCCCATCTGAAAACTTGGACTGTTTCATTTAACCACGCCCCTTCCCTCGCACACTTCCCTCCCCTTACCCCCAATCTGCTGTGGACACTTAAACATACTTGGAAATAAGACAATGAGAATGTCTTTGCTTTGGCTGATTCAGGGAGTCACCTGTATCTCTGTCCTTACGAGGTCTCGACCCCACTGCCTGATCAGCCTGGGAAGCGATGGGGAAGGAGGGGGAGTGGGCGGGAGAGGTAAGCACTAGGACTGTGCCGCCTCTTCGCTTCAGCAGGAAAAACTGAACCTGGGCCCCAGGTTCGCCACCTGGAATTCAGGGGGTTAGAAGGGGCGGGAAAGCAGACGCTGGCCTCTCCCGCCCAGCAACTCTGCTCTAGCGTCTCCCAGCCAGGCCCAAGCCTACTCTGCTCTCGTACTGCAGCCCCTCAGGGAGGGAATCGAGGAGAACTCGGGAGAAAAGGGGACTGTGGAGAGCGAGGCGGGGGCCCGGGAGGGCTGGTCTGATGAAGGCCCACCCCAGAAGATGGAATCGGAGTTAGGGAGAGAGGATGGACTGACGATCCCTGGAACGCACCAGGCGGTCCCGTCAGTCCAATACCTGGTCCTGGAGTTAGCAAGCAGTCGGGACAGCTTCTCAGCTCCGCCTCCTCAGTTTACGGCCTCGCTGCCGCCTGGCCGGTTGCTGGGAGGGGAGGGGGGGAGATACGCAACGTGCCATGCGCAGTAGAGGGACCCGGGAAAGCTGGGGGAGAGCCCCCCCTGCTGGCCCCGCCCTGCAAGGGTGGGGAAGTCCTGCTGGGGCCCCACCCAGCCCACGCCGTGCAGAACCGTGGGTGTAGTTCCCGGTCTTTTAGGTGGGCCGCGCCCTGGCTGGTCCTGGGTTGCGAGTTATCTGGTTTCTCGCAGCACGCATACCTAAGGGACCCGGTTCCCCAATTGAGTGAAAGCCAAAGACCTATCTTCTTGATGAGGGCTCTAGGTCCGGAAAGGGCTCCTCAGAACCCCCGCCCCCGCGGCAGGAAGGAAGTAGTCTTAATTTCAATAATGAAGAGCTAAGGGGACAGAGAGGCTAACCAGCACTGGCTGCTGACTTGGCTACCTTGAGAATTTTACTTTCATGTGGTAGGACTTCAGTGGAAAAACTCGTCCTATACTTATTTTAAAAAATTGATTTTAGAGAGAGAGGAGGTGGGGTGGGGGAGAGAGACATCTATTTTTCCACTTACGCATTTATTGTTTCTTATATGAAAAGATTGAACTCACAACCTTGGTGTAATAGGACATTGTTCTAACCAAGTGAGCTACCTGGCCAGGGCATGTTTTAAAAAAACTACATCCCAGTGTCCCTCACTTTGGCCTCTCCTGCAAAAAACAGCCAAGTGGTATAGGGGAAACCCATCCTTTCTTTGTGGTCCAGGTAAAAGAAGAAAAACAGTTCAACCAATGGGACCTATCATTTTTATTCTTCTGGATCTTTCCTCCCCTGGATTCTTCCTCATCTGCAACTCTTAGAGATCTGTTCTGATTGCAGAAACCTGTAAGGTTTGCCTTGATAAGAAAGCTAGTCTAAGCCAAGGCAGGGCTTGAGACATCATGGAGCAATCTCAAGTGATGAAGCAAGTTTTCCCTCTGAGGCTGCGTTGTTTTTTTTTTTTCCCCAGTGACTTACTCCATCCAAGGAGGGTTTTCCCCCCAAAACTGCTTATATACCATCAAGTAATGAACACTCACTTTCCCCAGCTCTGACCCTTTATGGAGATTTCTTTTTTTTAGATTTCTTTTTAGAGAGGAAGGGAGGGAGGAAGTGAGGGAGAGAAACATCAATGTGTGGTTGCCTCTGACATGCCCCCTGCTGGGGATCTGGCCCACAACCCAAGCATGTGCCCTGATTGGCAATTAAACCAGAGATAGAGAACAGCACTCAATCCACTGAGCCACACCAGCTAGGGGCCTTGATGCAGATTTATATTGGTCTAACTTCTAGGATGGGAGTTTAGTTACATCCAAACAGCAACTGATGAAAATATGGACACTGAAGGGGAATTTTGCCTGTGAAGCAACAGACACCTCAAGGTCTTACTAAATTTTACCTACATCAGGGATCTTAGCTGGTTAGTGCTTTAACATTCCAAAGCACACTACCTCATTATCCTTTTTTTCCTTCACTATTCTCTCATTCTCAAAATAAGATGCCTTCCTCAGCAAAAACTTGGTAAATTGACAATAGACCATAGTGGCAGAAACGGAAGTAAAATACTCAGTGGAGTTCTTCTGAAAAGACCTTCCCACGTGGTCTTTGGCATTCAGGGGTACTAGAGAAGTCAGTTCCTAAAAAGATGCCAAACTTGATGCAGCCAACACATTGGGGAATTTAAATATGGAAGTACTTTCCCTCTGTTCTAGTACATAGCCCAATAACTGTCATTTTCAATCTGGGTATCAGTCTATTAAAGGGGCTAAAAGATTTTGCCATCTTCCTGATTGTCCACAAAAGCTTTTGGCCCAGACTGTTCCTCCTCAAGGAGCAAATTTCTATCAGCTTTAGTTTTCTATCAGCTTTAGTTTTCCTTGCAATTTATATAATTTAGAAAATTTAGAAAACCGGTGTAAAGAAAGGTCAAATTTCAGAGTTTATGAAGTCAGTCTCTTCCTGTTTTGCTTTTTTACTCGTTATGAGCCCTGGGGTGCACAAGCTCCCTACTGCTTTTCATTTAAAACTTAGTAGTTGGGACTCTCCAAGATTTCTGGCTCTTTCTGAAACTGGCTTGAAGCCCAGAGGGATGAAGGACTGAAGATCCTGTTTTGTTTTTAACTCTGAGCATCCAGTTTAAACTAAGTGGCACTGCCCTCTTCAAGATACTATATAAATTAATTATGAGAAAGGTAAAACTAATAGTGTAGAATACTCAAGCAAAATGTTTATGATGTGTAGTTTAACAAACTGAGCAGGATTATTTAATTTACAGATTTTATATGTCAAAGCACTTAATATATGTTATCTAATATTATCCTCTGAACAGCCATTTTAAAAAGGGGAGGAGATAATGCCCACTTACAGGGGAGGAAACAGACTTGTTCAAGCACAGGGACAGCACCTGGGTCCTTGCCCACAAATCCAGGGCCTTTTCCTGAAGCAGAAAACTGGCTTCAATTCTAGCTTTGCTACAATCTTGCTAAGTGATACAATCACATGGAAGAAAAAGATTCAAAAGAAAGCTATTTAAGCATTTAATTTGAAAATGTGGTAAGAAAGCAGTTAAAGAGTTCTCCCTCCAGCAAAGTTGATCCAATGAATAACTGAGGCAGATGTAAAGTTATCTAATTTCCAAATAACTCCCATGGAACTAAATACTTAAAATGGCCTGAGTGCCTTTTTACATAAAGTTATACTATTTGGATAAAGACAACGAGGAGAAATTAAAGAGGTCAGTTTATTTTAAAAGATGAAAATTAAAATTAATAACATCCATTAAAAGTGGTATTGCAATAAACAAGGTTCTCCTTTTCATTGGAAAAAAAAAAAAGAAGACAAAAATTAGCCCTGGCAGGGTGGCTCTTTGTTGGAGCATCGTCAGCCTTACACCCAAAGGTGTAAGGTTGCAGGTTTGATTCCCAGTTGGGGTGAATGTGCGAGATAGCCCATCCCTGTTCCTTTTTTACATTGATGTATGTTTCTCTCTCCTTCTCCCCCCTTCCTCTCTCTCTCAAAAAGGTCAGTGATAAAGAAATCCTTGTGTGAGGATTAAAAACAATTTTTAAATTAGCTTTCTTCTAAAGATGGTATTCCCAGTTCACAGAGCTAGAAAATGGCATTCAACCTGTGCAAAGATAAAAACATTACACTTTCTTCCAATACAAATAAATCTTTTGCTGATCACCAAACTCCAAAAACTCAAAAAAGTAGTATTTTTTGCTATTGCTTTAGCAGTCTGTAAAAGAAGCCACTCCAGTGGGCATAACTGTCCGCCCCCCTAAATCCTTTCATTCAAAATGAATGAAGGCAGGAACAGTTAGAAAAGAGAACCCAGGATGATATAAAGTACAGTATTTCACCCCTCCCACCAAAATAGATCCTTGGAGACACCGCACTAAATAATTGTCACACTGTCCATTCCTGCTGGATGAGTGGACTGAAAACATCAATCAGTGTTTATCTTTGGGCTAAGTACCATCTGAGGAAAAGAGTTTCATATCTGGTGCTTGACAGGAAAAGATTATATTAGTAACTAAACAGAATTATAGACTATTACCCTCCCCCCACAAGAAGCATGCTGTCAAATTTTGCAGATAAAGGTAGAGAACTCTGAAAGGATCTGCTTGGTTTCCACTGGGAGAAAGAAACACAAGAGTAAAGCAAAAAGGCACCACTTGGAAAATAGTCCTAGAAGATACCTTACATTTTTATTTTTTTAACTATAGGAGAAAATTTAAGAAAATTACAAAGGTGGCAGAAGTGAGCCAGCTGGGCTGTGTAGGCTCAGGAAACCAGCTAAAGGGCCCTTGGAGCTTAGGAGACGGGGTGGTGGGGTGGTGGTGGAGAGGAAGAAAGAAGAGGGTGATGGGAAAAGTGCCCCTTATATTTTTAAAGTGCCATAGTTTAGAAGAGAATTTTATAGATATTATCTCTTGGTGTTTGTAGAAGGAAGAACAGAATAGAGATTCCGTGACTTGCCCCAAGTCAAAGGATTTGTTATTGGGTTTGCATGCACAGGAGTGTGAACAAAATCAGAGAGCTCAGTGGCTTTCCAATGTGTGACGGTAGACAACATTCTCCTCTCTCTGTCTTCTTATTCCTAGGACAGATAATGGTGACCTAATTCAAGAGGGAGACTTCAGGGAGGAGCCCATTAATAAACATATGGAGCTCTAAAAATAGAAAACATTTAAAAATACTGGCAACGAATAAGGAATTTTTTTTGTCAAGGCCAAATCTTAGGAAGGAAAAGAATTTCAGTGCTGATTTTTATTGAACAGGAAAAAACATTCCTACGGGCTTATACTGTTGTAGGGAAACCCCAGAAAAGTAAAGTAGGCACTCCGAGATTTTTGTCAATGAGTTTAATTTATGTCCATTAGTTACCATTCATATGAATGCTTAAATTACAAAATTAGCTGCCATGGTCCAAATGTGTGGGGCTTTAAGAAAGCTTTTATTAATCAAAAGATAGCTAAGCATATCAATTTTTATTTCTAAAACATATTTTAAAGATCTGTAAAACAAGGCTCATTCTAGAATTATGCAGCATTAAATTGTTATTTTTGTTATTTTAATAACTTAATTTCATGAACTGTTAAAAAAATTACATTTACATCTCCCAGTTGACACATTTCTGCACTGACCTAGAGAAAAACCCATGTGAAAAGTTTCCATGCAGTTACAAAGGCCCATTCTGTTTCCACAGCAACTTGTTATTGCCTCAGAATACACCTGCACAAAAAGCATCAGCAAAAAAATACCCGCCCACCCCTCACCCACCAAAAACCCCAACCCTTTCCCAACCCCAGCAAAAGTTACCTGGTACAAGCAGTGACTTAAAAAAATGCTTTCTTAGTAGGAAGCATTTATAAAATGCAGAGATCTGAACGAGCTAAATGCTCGGGCCTCTCCCCCATGAATTCCTTCCTCAAGAGGAAGGAAAGAACTCTCAATAGTTTAGAAAAGCTCAATTTTAAAAGTATATTTA